TCCAATAGTAGAAGCTAAATTCAAAGCGAAATCGGTAATTGATGGCGAATCAGACAGAGTCATCGGCAATTGTACAGCTCCAGCTACTTACGTATGTGCATACATTATATACATAGAGTATGTGTGCATTTAGGTTTGGCACGCAAGTGATATTGCAAAATGGAAGAGCTATGCATTATTTCAAAGTCAAAGTCGACAACTAATTTCTATTCACGAAAATCAAATTTGCGAAGCCCCATATAATTACAAAAATATGTAGTTTACATCGTTCTAACACAGATACTAAACTAACTACTTACACGTACATATATCTATGTGATGTGCTGAAAATCTCCACGCCCTCCTAAGTTGCTCAAGCAAATGTAACTACATATATACCGTAACCGCTTGATCACCCAACTGAGGCTTAATAATTTACTGCTTGGAAATTGTTAGAGTAATAACAAAGCGGTCACGAAATATCCAAAGTCATAAGCCGTTATCTGCATGCTGCAGTTATAAGGCCATATACGCCTCACTGCATCTTTGCATCCAGCTATATATGTATGTTTGTATATATATGAGTTTGCTATGAATTCAATAACGCAAATATATAATGAGTGTCCGTTAGAGTTCACATGTGCACATGAATGCATTCATCAATCGATTACTTCACTATTTGATGAGGTCCTAATTATGCCGACAGGTGAGAATTTATTTAGTTAGGCATCCAAGTGAAATGACGTTGAGCTAATGACATGGTTTTAAGGGGGAATAGCTCAGAATAAACAGCACACTTTGATACACCCCAATATTTTCAGTATGTGTGAAAAGGAAAATCAACAGATATTTAGGGTTTAGGAGCTAAAAAATATTGTTCTCCTTATGCCGATTTCCGGTTATTTGCTTCGTGCTTGTACTCATCAAGGGTAGTTCGGTCCATACCTTCCCAAACAAAACGATCTTCTCTCATAAAATCATAAAAAAATAAATTGGGCAAATTAAATGTAAGTAACAAAAATATGTCAACCAATTAATTTTTATTTTTTATCGATTTTGTTATCAATATTTTTCGATAATTATCGATTTCGTTATCGATATTTATCGATTTTGTTTGCGATATTTATCGATTTTATTATCGGTATTTGTCGATTTTATTATCGATTTTGTTATCGATAATTATCGATTCCTTCATAGATTTTTATCGTTTTATTATCGATATTTATCGATTTTATTATCGATATTTATCAAAATAAGTTCTGGATCAGATCTACAAAAGTCGTTGTAAAAATTTGAAAAATTGGTAGATATTCCCACTCTTATTTTCTATTTTCAAGCTCATTCCGCAGACTGGATATATTATCGCAGATAAATAAGATTTATTTTCTAGAATAAGGGATGAAAATAACACCTTTTAGCACCTATATAATTTTCGTATCAAACATTTTGTAATTTTCGACCCACCCTGACCCCTTTTTAGTTCACTGATATTGTACTGTTTGTCTAAGGCTGGCCACCATACTACGGCGCCGAAGGTAAGGATTGGTTTTATGATAGTTAGCTGTGTTTTTCTATTGAAGATCCGTTTACAAGTATAATAAGCGATAGGATAGGATCTCTTTTTACGTTTCTCAACATTAATTTTCCAGCTTAATTTAGTATCTAGAATTACTTCCACATATTTCCCATTGGACGAAAGGAGGTATGTCTTTCCGGTTATGGATGGAAATCTAAATTGGGGTATCTTATTTCTATTAGTAAACAGTAAACAGTCAGTTTTCCTTGGGTCACTGTCTCTAGAATTTCACTTACAGTAGAAAGAAATGGCCTTGTGACTTCTATCGCTAAATCGTTAGCATACGCCACTATTCCGCAATTCATGATACGTTGGCAATCACATAGAATATGCTCTGGGGTTTCCTTCACCAGCCCACAAAACCTGAAACCCGTCTCCATAGTGAACCCTGCGACCCCCCCGGCTAAGTTCAAGGAGTCCTTTGGAGCTCCCCCTGGATGGAGTTATGCACTTATTTGATTGTCTCATTCCCTTTGACTTCCGTCATTGGGTAGAATCGTGTAAACTGCAACTCGGAGCGAATTCTTAATCGTGGACGAATTATGAATTCACTAAATTACAGCAAAGCCTCAGGAAAAGCCATTCGAATGGACGTCTCCGGGTGTTGGAGAACAGAGTCTCGCGGACAGGTTGTTGTGTTGCCGGCGGTACATAGAAGAGTGTCCAGAACTACTCACTGGTCCACAGGTGTGTTGCCGCTATTGTAAAAATCCATGGCTTGGGATTGGAATTTTTGGTCTAGATGGAACTTGTTTTTCCCATTTAACATCCTCCGCCTATTTTCTGCCTTCAAAACCCGGAGAAATAATTTAGATCTAAACGACTTTGTTAAAATTAAGAGGTCACCAGTGTAAAAAATGCTTACCTCGAAAGGTCATAAGGATTACCAGTTATTTTAATTTTTACGTAAAAGGTTATACGAACACTAAGAACTTCTAGTTAGCACAAATACAAATGAAGACGCACGCACAATCTCGACATTTGAAACTTTATGTTTACTTTAAATGTCAGCAACTTTGTTAAGCCTGCACAACATACTCATAAGTTTAGAGTACTCGTATTAATCTGATTCCGGAAATCTTTGTTGGAATCATGCCTACCATCCTCTCCCTCCACATTAAATTTTTTTCTACCCCCTTCACTTTAATACTCACTTGTAAATGCTCTGCGTGGACACATCACTCCAGAATATCATGCCAGTGCGGAAGACAAAGTCCAATGCCGTCGCCGATTTTGTATTGTTCACAATCGATGTCATTTCCATGTGGTCTAAGGCGATTTTCCTAATGTCATGACGTCGCGCCAACAACAAGGATGCATGCCCCTCGGTCGCCTTGCAGCGTGTGTGATTGCGTGGATCCCGCATGTAGCCCGCTTCGCATTCACACTTGAAGCCACCAACTTCATTGATGCAGATTTGTGAGCAAGCACCCGGATCATCGCATTCGTTAATGTCTACGCAGGTTTTGTTATCGGTCAGTTTGTAGCTGGAAAAAAAAGAAGAATGTGGGAAGTTGAATGTTTAGTTAAATGCAACTGAAGCACAGAGGACAAATATGTACATTTACATACAGTGACGAACAAAAGTATTGGTACAGTGAATTTTTCGCAATATATGCAAAGTTTCTTATTCTAATTTATTTTCGATACTTTTTTATAAAAATATTGTTCATTATACACCAAAAAACATAATAACAAAATCTCTAAACTTTGTGCAAAACTCCGAAAAACTTATTAAATTTGCACACTAATTTGCAACTTTTTATTAAGATTTTTCTAAGTATGCAGTTTTATGGTCCATTCAATTTTAGTAAAAAAAAATGCAAGTTTAAAGTCGCTATAAAGTTGCGTTGATTTTTGGCAATTTTTTTTAGTGGAAGGTGCTGCTAATTTTTTCCATACAGAAAATAATTGCCGAATCTACTTTGTATGCAAGAACTTGCATGAAATAAAATTACCAAAAAATCAACGCGATTTTCTAGCGACTTCAAACTTGCACTTTTTTGTACTAAATTTGAATGGGCTATAAACCTGCATACTTAGAATTTTTCTAAAAAAGCCGATTAAAAAGTTGCAAATTAGTGTGCAAATTTAATAAATTTGCCTGAGTTTTGCACAAATTTTAGAGATTTTATTATTACATTTTCTGGTGTATAATGAACAATATTTTCATGAAAAATGATCGAAAATAAATTAGAATAAAAAAACACTGCATATATTGCGAAAAATTCACTGTACAAATACTTCTGTTCGGCACTGTATATGTATGTGTAGGTATGTGTGAGATAAAGCTAAATGTGTATTGTACAGCCACAGGGTAGATACATACATATATCTCCATACATATGCGAGAGTGTGAACTACTTCAATGGAAGCAAGTGTTTGCCATTCGCAAGCCTTTCGATGCACAGAAATGCGAAAAAGTGAACGTTGGCTTTGGTTTAACGTGTAGGAATTTCGAAATTGATTGCTTTACGGTTGACTTGAGGTATTAATGCGAATGGGAACAGCTGCCAGCTATAAACATGCCTATATGTACATACTAGAGGGGGTCGATTTGTAGGGGACCGAAAAAACGAAAAAATTGGATATGCGGAAAATGCTCTACGAATCAATCTGAGCAAGTTTGCTTAAGAAAGTATGGGTCTTAAACCAATTTCGAGCCAGCGATTTGGACTGATGATTTATTTCTCATCGGGAAATGCAAATGTAATTTAAAAGCAAGCCTATACATCTGTGGGAAAATTCCGGATAGGCTGACATTTTTTATGCAGGATCAACACATTGAACACATTCCCGAGTTCTTTTTTGATGTGTTCGACCGAGCAACAACAATAGCAACCTTGCCACCAGTGAATCATGATTCTACATATGAACCAAGTCAGTCAATACGACATATCTAAATCACCATCAATAATTTAGTATTTCTGAAAACTACCGTTATATGGGAGGTAGGCGTGGTTATGGTCCGATTTTGCCCATTTTCAATACTATCTGTCCCACGCTTAAAGGAACTAAACATACCAAGTTTCGTAATGATGCCTCAATTTTTACTCGAGTTATCGTGTGCACAGGCAAGGATTTTTTTTTTTTACCTGATATGAAGCTTCCCCTTAAAAATCGCTGGCTCGAAATTGGTTTCATACCCATAGTTTCTTAAGCGAAGTTGCTCAGAATGATACGTAGAGCATTTTCCGCATATGCGATTTTATGAAAAATAAATCGATCCGCCCTAGTACATACATATATATGTTCATAAAGACATACATACATAAGTAGAAGCTTTAATGTGTGGGCTAACTTGCATCAGTCAAGCGCCCAACATACGTATCAGTGTGAGTAGCACGCTGGCCAGATAGCATATTCGTACAAGCTAGCCTGAGGCTCGCACACACACGCAACCAAAATTTCATTGACTCTTCTGTACGTCATCCTCACATAGATTAGGATTAGAGCAAATAGCAATCAGTTTGGAAGCGAAAATTAACGTTGACTTAAGTAAAGTGATTTATACTCAAACACAGCGTTATATGTGTGTGTGTATGTACATATGTAATCATACGTCAGCCTCCTAGCTTTGGTTATTTGGAAATGTTTAATTAAAAGTTCTGCTGTGCGTGATTTAATCGTTGGTGAGGATGAATGCGTAAATTTGGTTTCAAATTGAGCTGTATATTGCGAAATGATGGAATATGAGTCCACCATTGGAACCATTGAATAAAGATTATAGTGTTTTTAATTGTTTTTGAAAGTGTTTAATAATCGCGTATTAAAAAAAATGTGTAAGAGGAAATTAGTGACTAATTCACGATAGCACAGTGTCTTTTAATAAAAGCTGACTCAATTTATAATTGTTATCTTCCAATTGTATACTGGTATATGGGCAGTTTTCACTTTTTCGGGGTGTGCCTTCCGTCTACAGTCACTGTCAGAATTGCGGCTATAGGAAAGGTACAAGACAAATGTCACAAACTACAAGTAAATTATCTGAATCTCCAATAGGGAATCACGAAGATACCAATGCGAGTCAGTGGAGTATTTGTCTGAGGCCTTCTGCCTACATATAATTCTATCAAAAGTGCGTTCGAATGGTATCAGACTGCTAAGAAGCCAAATTGGCACATTTGTTAACAGAAATTGCAATACACTGACCAACTTGTTACAAGTAAATTTCTAACGCTCTTAGTTGGACCAAGATTAACAGACTCCTGTCACCCCAAAAAAATAGGTTTAATATAATAAGTAGTCATAGCAGGTCTTTGACCATCTCTGACCGAGACAAGATAAGGTGGGTAGTAGAGTAATTTCTACCATTCGACAACTTGTTCAGCCGGCACACCAGAGTTGCTTCTGAAATGGACTTCATTAAAAATTGTTGTTCAAACAACAACGGTAACGAGAGACCGGCAAATGCTAATATCACAATAAGCAACATATAGGTATTTTTGTTAATATAGTACGGTTTTAAATATGCCACTGTTTTGGCAGAAAGTAACAGAGAGGTCTCGATAAAAGAATCTCCTGACCTTGGTCCAAGCTATGTGCCCTGGTAAACCGACGAATCAAGTATGGATGGCAGAAAGAAGAGGTGCACATGTTTATGAACCTGACACTGGGAAAATGGACCATCGTCTTTCAGGCTGAGTTGTCAGAAGTCTCTAGCTATGCCAAATTAAATCTTCTAGAATTTGAAAGAGGCGTCTATAGTTATATTTAAGGACATCAAGGCTGCCACCAGGGCCCTATTCAAAAGGCTCATCACTACCAATCTCGTTAAGAAGTGTTTTAATAGCCTCCAACTGTTGGCAGCGAGAAGCATCGTAACACTGTGCTGGAACAAGGTCACTACGGGAACGATATTAAAAAGATCGCGCATGAGCTGGTGGGAGAAAGTTTTCTTTGAGCTTTGCAATTAACGACTGCGTTAACTCAGAATGCAGTAATACTGTGTAGCGGTAGGGGTTCTTAAACAGGCCAGGTTCTTTGCCTATCCTTTCGATAAAATCAGAATATATCCTTTGAAGGAAGCCAGTATAAGATTGCTCTCATAACTGGATAAACCCTTTTGAGCTATCGCATGCATCCGACGACCGCGGAGAGGGAATGCCGTTTCTGTCTTGACGATGAAGAGACGACCAAAATTTATGCGTGAACTTATCGGTAGTTGAACCCCTTACTGATAGGAACTCGTCTACCAGATACCAGGCTGTCAGAGAAAGGGACTTATCAAAAGCATACACAATATCTTCTAGGTAGCAGTGCTCTTTGATCGGTCTATTAACTAAATGGCTAAGTCTAACTATACAGGATTTGCCTTACTTACACACACGATTCGTGATAAGGATTTCACCAAAAAAATTTGAAAATTAAATTTAGACGAGGAACCACTGGTTAACTGGTTACCTGGTTAACTGGTAACTGGTTACAGTGTACTGGTGGTTACACTGGTTAACGAAACAGACTAAACAACTGGCTCTGAAATAATGTGGGTGTAGGTAAATGAGTATATATGTGGCAAATGCTCAAAGACCCTATATTAGGGTGGAGTGAAAACCTCGTTTATTTACGGTCGCCCCAAAAGCCTTCAGATTCCGAAAAAACTCTAAATTTTTATACATCTTCTAAATAGAATTTTAGTGTAAAAAAGTGCAAAAAAATTTCAACAATTTCGAAATCGAAAAATTTATTTTTTACACTCCACCCTAATGTAAAATACAAGTAATATAATATGATAATATATAATATAATATCATAATATATATAATATATATATATATATAGATTAGAAATATTAACGTTTTTTTTAAATCAATCTGGGAAAATAAAAAAATCACAAAAATTAAACTTAGACCCATGGCGGAATAAACAGGTGAGGTAATAAAGGTGCTTTCTCGCTTTATTTTCTCACATTCGGCTGCCTTCTTGTCAAGTTTTATAGGGAAATTTTTAAAAATGGCAGTGTCAAAATCTTTCTTCTCAATCTAATTACTTCACCTGGTATAATTCCACCATGACCTACACCAACAATTTCTGAAACAAATATCTATGTATGTATGTTTGTCAGTAAGTGAATTTTGATTATGTGTAAATAAAAATTATACATTTTTCAACTTACCCAGAGTTACACTCGCAGCGGTACCCAATCGGTTGATTGATGCATTTGTGCATACAACCGCCATTATTCACAGCGCATTCGTTCACCGAACACTTGCCCGCCGGCTCATCTTCGCCATCCGGACAATCTTTTTTGCGATCACAAACCTTTGATAAAGCTATACACTGACCGCCGCCGCAATCGAATTGTGTGGTCGCATTGCATTTGGTGATTTTAGAGATGCCTAAATATAAAATAACATTCAAATGATTAACATAAGTTCATATCGAACGAAAAACAGAGCTTGATATCCTTGAACTTACCACACTTCAATTCATCGCTTCGATCCGGGCAATCAGCTTCGCCGTTGCACGTCAAGTGGCCGGCTATGCAGGTGCGATCGCCGCACTGGAACTGATCCGGTCGACATGTGGTGTTTCGGCAATTTTCTTGCAGTTCATCGTCGCCATTGGGACAATCCTTTTCGCCGTCACACAGCCAGCTGTGATGTAGGCAGGTAATACGGTCACTGCATTGAAATTCGTGCGACAGGCACGGCGTTATGGTATGTGTGGCGTTCTTGGGGCAAGATTGCTGAAAGATCAACCAAAATAGAACAAGAGGATGGTTAAAAGAGTTTAGTAGTAAATTCATCATTTTAATATACAAATAAACTTAAATTGACATAGAGACTTTATTGTTTGGAAAAATTAAATTAAATTAAAATTAATTCCACCATTAACCGGAATATGTTTAGTGTTGATAAATTTGAATAAAATATTTGACATTAAAATGCAAAATATTTCGACATACATACATATTTACATTTTTGTAAATATTTTATACCCGAAACCCGTTAGTTTCAATAAATTTTTACTCCTTTGATGGATGGCAATTACATGATGCATACTTTTTGGCGGCAGCTGAGGTGTAGTGATTAGAAGTGCGCCCTATCAGGCGCCTGGGATCGAGCCCAGTTTCCGATTAACATCAAAAATCAAAAAGATTTTGCTAATAGTGGTCGCTCTCCGCCACGCAATTGCAAACCTACGACCTGACATTTGGAACAGCTTCTTATACAACTATAGGTCCCTATGTCTGTGAAGTTGACATAAGGTGTGACGCAAAACGGGGGAAAAAAAAGATGTTCTAAGTAGCTTTTCAACAGTTATATATAGATTTCCTAAAAAAAAAACAATCCTGCAAAATTACGCCAAACAATTTTTTTTTTAGTTTTTAAAAGTATAATGTTTGAAAAAAATAAAAATTATAACTTATTTGTACAGATTCTTAAAAGCTTAATAGTTTTTTAAATAAGCGCCTTATAACACTACTCGGTCGACATTTTTTCCTAAGTATTTTCGGCTTACCGAAACGATTCCGCTTTGCGCTCATCTGCGTACTTGTCAGAATACTTTCGGTATGTAATTTGTAGGCAAAAATTAAAAAAAGCTGCAACGCACGAGATTAAATTTTTAAATTTCATAAATCATTAAATAAAATTGTCCGCTGGTGAAGACAAAGACGTTATAGCTTATTATATTTATATTTATTTATTTACCTCTTATTTTTTTCTGCTTGTTTTTGTACGCGTAAGAATTTGTGCAGTAAATTTTCCGATTTTACTTACAGTACGGTATGCCGAAATGAATCCGCTCCGATTTCATGTCTGCGACACTAATGTGAGAGTGCCAATTGAATTACATGTGGTCGGTATACTTTCGGTAAAAACCGAAAATATCGATTCGATTTCGTACCGAGTAATATGGAAGCGGTGGACATGGTGGAAAAACTGGTATGCATGATCGACCTAGCTCCATCTTGTCTTTGTCTTTGGTATGTACAGCCAAGCTGGCACCTAAGCTCAAGAGACGGTAACGACTAACTCGATATGCATTTAAGAATGTCGAAGATCCCTACACATAATAGACCTTTATTAAGTCTCGGCATACAGTGCACTTATTCCGGAAAATTAGTATGCTTGAAAGGGATCTTTGATAGGATTAAGGGACACGGTTTCGACCGTAAAACCTTCCCTGCGGTTCCTATCTTCATAACTTGAGGAGGCAGCCAGAGCAGCAAGCAAAATCTGGTGAATTAACCTGCACATCTACAATGTGTGCTCGAAGAATTAAGAACACCATGTTTACTAAGACTCTCAGAGCCAAAACGCCTCAAATTTCTAGGGTACTACTTATTCGAGAGCTTGGACAGCTTACGGAAGACTGTTTAGGAGGGTCTGCTGGGATTCTAAAGAAAAGCAGTATGGTTTAAAGAAATGTAAGGATAGGTATGTGAAACCATCCCTTGAGATGCTAATGCGACCTCCGGGCGAAGTCTTATTAGAGCTGCCCGTATAACCTAACCTGACCTAACAATGAGATAACCATATAGATGGGGTTCGTAGATCTAAAAGGGGTTAGGTCACTGAAACAACAGTGGTCAGATAAAACCCGAGTCATTCCGGTACGTAGAACTGGCTTTCGTGGCCCAGTTACAGTCTGGATACTGTAGCCGCCTCAACAGCTACCTGTACGGAGTCGCGCCCTAATATCCCCATTGAGTGTCTGGCATGTGGAAACTCCCCGCACGACACCTACCACCTAATCACATGCCAGATCAATCTCATTTAACTAACAGCCCTCTCCCCTTGCGCTGACCCTGTTGAAACTGCTCGTTTCTTTGGCCTACCGTTAGTTGAGCTCGACGACAATTACTGATGCTTAAACCTAAATGTGCGGCGCTTAGTAGTGCTACTACAACAACAACAATCAGGTAAGAATAATGCAGAAACGCGAATGCATCCATACGTCTGAAGCACCGATCTTTCGATCTGCCAAAAGTACTGGTAATTGGTACCGCTTTAAAATTGGCTCTTAGATCATGGGAATAAAAACACCGAAAGCAAAATAACCATGAACATACAGCGATCATGTGTGATACTAAGAGCTGAGCGCGATAACGAAATTAAAGCTAACTTGTGTGAAAATACTGACTATAGAAGGAGAAAGGAAACTAGGCTGGCGCTTAATCGGAGAAGCTATGGATCAGGTATTCATGACTGACAGCTGCATTGGTTTCCGAGTAGATCTTCTTGCCATAGAGGAGGTAGTTTGTCGAAAGAGAATAAAACTACTATATCAGAAAAGTTCTCTACCTTTGTCGACAGCCAATCTGTACTAAAAAATCTGGGATCTAATAGAGCTAGATCCACTGAGCAACGTCAAAATCACTCATTCCTGGGCTACCGGATTCAGCGGTATCGATGATAAAAACGTCTGGTATTCTGGTATGATATGACTATCGATACAAATATGCCTTTATCACTTCCGAATAGTGATATTTTAAAGGAAATTGGCGAATTAACCAAAACCATAAGCATTTTTCTATGGCCAAACCAGTTCCGATGTGAAATTCCACGTACTCGGGTTGACAAGCTTTTACGCAGCACTTTTTATTAGAAAGTTCTTTAGCTATGTACGCAGCTTCCTCAAGAAAAATTTGATGAAGTACGGTTTTCGTTATTTTTGTTGTTTAAAAATTTACTTTGACTTTGACTGCCATTTTTATAGTAGAATATTTCTCTTCCATTTCTTGAACGTCATGTTATATGAATTTTTCGTTTTTCTTGAGATTAAACAAGAAAATTTTGTTAAGTTCTTAAGTTAACTATTTCAAAATTTTGTAAAATATTCGCAGAACCCAGTACAAAAAAAAAAAAATAATTAACAGGTCGCTCACGCACCCCATTGGCTCTTTGCTAGTAAGCAAATTTAGGAAATTGTAACAGAAAACTTTCGAAACAACAAAAACCAGTGAGCTTAGCGCTATGTACTTTTCAAATAAACGGCCACCCATGCAACCCATTTTCCGTAGCCATCAACATACATACATACCTACGAGTATCTAACCACTCAATTTCCGGCTACGCAAGTCGCAGCATTGAAGCGATGAATGAAGATCATAGCAAGATTTTCCGCTGTTGTACACAAAAATGACAATGCAAAGATCGTACGCTACTACAATAGACACATTAATAAAAACAACAACAACACGGAAAGGTCTTTTAGGAGATTGCAAAAGCGGCATGCCACTGAGGATAACAATTTACGAGCATACTTTGAATATTCAGACCAAACAAAGGAAAATGCCGTTGGTTGAGAGAAGATGATGCGCGGAAGAGAAGGGGGAGGTGGAGAAGGAAGAGAAAAAAAAATGAAGTAGGGGTGTTAGCGAAATTACTGAAATGATGCAAAATAGTTTTGGTAAGAATAGCTCGACTTGGTAGTAAAGAGCACGTTAGCTTGTGGCGCGTGTGGTGAGGTAGTGGCGTTGTGGTGGTAGTTGCCGCCAAGTAATGGCGCACAGCGNATACTAATGCATGAAAATCCTAACCTCAAAAAAATCACCCGTTATTAATTTCTATACTCTACAAGCCTGGTTTATCTCGCTCAGAGATGTATGGCATTCAGTAAGGGAATTTGCATTCTCTATGTGTCAGTGTGAGCTATCTGACTGCCACAGAAGACCAACTCTCGTTTGTTCTCGCTAAGTCTGTGATCAAGATTTCGTGCTGCCCTCCTAAATGGCAAACATATCTTAATAAGGGTAAACATCACCAAAACTGCGACACTTAGAGCTCAACCATCCTCCGACGTAAAACCGTGGACCGTGGCAGCTGACACTCACCGTATGATAGTGACGTTGTCGTAGCTTCTCTCTCTTTATTAACCGCACTTTCATGTGTAGATACGGACGGCAGGTACGGGTGGGCTCTCCGTCGGTGGCTGATTGAACTAGTAGAAATTATTACCAGAAAGAAACTAGAATCCTTTAAAAAACATTTATTTTATTTTAATACTTTGAAGTTTAGATGTAATTAAAATGTTAAAATTATAGATATTATTTGACCCATATGCAAGTGATCGGTGTTTTCGTCGCATACGCTGCCATAATCCTCAACCCAACATTATATAATTATGTAATTGTATAAAGTTTAAAACTCTGATTTATGTATATGGTGTTGGCTAAAGCTTGGAAAATATTTTTATAGAAAAAGATCAAACTAAATTTGAAAATCGACACGTAAACACTTTGTATGGAAAAGAATATGTGACACCGCCAGCAAAAGAAAATTGTCAAAAATCAACGCGAATTCTTAGCCACTACCTGCCAAAAATTAAATTGGCGTAAGCATTGACCTTCATTAAAAAAAACCAGGACAATTTAGGTGTGGACCAGGACACCAGGACAAATTTCTAAAACCAGGACAAATCCTAGAAAACCAGGACGTCTGCAGCCCTATTCTACATTATCTGCGTACATTATCGACTTTACGCGATGCCCACAACCACTTTGTTTTGAACTTTTCAATATGTTTTAATACTTTTTAATAGGATGAGCTATTAGGTGGATTGCAGTCTCGTGGTACAAAGTTGATGTTACTTGCATTATACCACTGCAATGTGTCCTTGGCATAGTGACAGTGGTCTACTATCATGTCTCTTGATAAATGGCAGACGACGCTTTTTTTGTACCCGTGCAACATAATTTGTCTCATTTCCAACTCGGTTACCATTTTTATCTTAACTTTA